GGGGGGGGGGGGGGGGGGGGGGTATGGGGCACGAAGGTGTGTGGCACTAAGTTCTTGAACCACGAGAGCAATGTGGGGGTGGAGGGAGGGGTCCTCCCTTTTCTAAATTAGCAGTTGTTGAACGAGGTTAGATACAGGCAGCCAGACTTACTCCTAGAGAGGAAAAGGAGAATGCTTGGCGTGTTGGCCTTGCAGACAATCAAGTTGGGAAAGTTTGAAAGAAGATGTTCGCTAAAAAGTTTGTGTTGAAGGCAAGACACTAACCAGTGGCCCCATGGTGTAATGGTCAGCACTCTGGACTCTGAATCCAGCGATCCGAGTTCAAATCTCGGTGGGACCTGTGGGTTTTTCTTTTCAGGGTTCAATTTTCAGTCAGGAGAAATTATTTGGAGACTTGGGAGCCAGATAGGAAGTAGAGAATGAAAGATATCTCTTTCACTAAGTGATCAATTTCCAACTAAACGTTCATTTTTTTATGTTATATAAGTACCACAAATCACATCCTTACTTGTAGTTGTTTACATACCACTATAAAGTTTAAAGACACCTTAAACCCAAAGAAAAGCATTGAAAATACAGAAGGTACTGGTAATGATGACTAAATTCTTAAAACATTTTTCTGTTTCAAAGGTCACAGCCTTCAAGCATAAACATGAAAATTCCATGGCAAATATGTAATAGAAGTTTTTCTCTTCAGAAGAGAAAAGAAAGGATTCCCAAACACTATTCAGTTCAGGTGTGGGCCTGAGTGCTGTCCCTGAGCTCTTTTTGCTCAAGGTTAGCACTCTACCACTTTGAGCCACAGCTCCAGTCCTGGTTTTGGAGATAAGAGTCTTACAGGGACTTTTATGCCAGGATCCTCAGATCTCAGCCTCCAGATTAGCTATGATTACAGGTGTGAGCCCTGGGTGCCCAGCTATTTTTCAGTTTTTAAATAAAGCTATGGAAGTATACTTTTAGAGGATTCTACTTCACATCAAATTGTTAGTCTTTTTAGGCTCCTGTGAACACAATTCATTGAGAGTTTAAATCTTCTAACGTTTAGATTTTGCTGTATGTCGGCAATTACATTTTGGGGAAATGACTAACATTTGTGAAAAATTATTTTTAGAAGACTATTTTTTTAAAGTAAGAGGGCAGAAAATGTATGATTCATAAAGATGCTAAGAGATTAAATTCGCTTAAAGACAGTTCCTGATTAAAACACTGAAGTAATAAGAAAAAGCAACTCCCATCATATCATGAGGACTGAGGAAAGGCTGAGAAGTAGTAGAAAATGAGAATGAGTTTGGGCAGATGAGAAGTTCACTATGCCTGGGCTTGGAAGACAATTGTAAGAACGAGTGAACATGCATTATAATAGTGTAAAAAGCAATGCAAGATGCTTCCTCCTATTTACCAGCTAAGAGCCATCCTCTTCATTATTTATTCATGATCATGGATTTTTTTTTGCCAATCGCTTTAATGGCTTATAAATTCAGTATTGCCCTTAATATATGGGTATTCAAATTAACCCGTTTAATTAACCCTTGCAAACTGTCCTTCTGAGTTCTTTAACATGACACTGCTTTGTTTATTTTCTTCCTCGCATAATAAATGGCTCAGGGTTGACTTATCTCTACTGGCCCAGCCTTCAAGTAATTTAGTTAGACATGCTGATTCCTTTTAGTGGGGGAAATAGCATGTAGAGGCCAATATCTGTGGGAAGGGAGAAAGAGGGAAGTCTTAAGGTTGATTCTAGGATATCTATTTTTTGGTCTCTTTAATGAACAGACAAGGAAGTGTATGTGCATGCACAAGCATGCACATGTGGATACTTAATGCAGTGTGTGTACATCTACACATTTCTATATACTTGTATAAACATTTTAGAACTCGTGAGTTCTGTAACCCTGCTTGCTTGCTTTGGTAAACATTACCTATGTGAAACCCCTTCCTATAAAAAAATCCCCCATGAAAAGCAAATGGGGCTGTTCTCCAGCTCTGTGTGCTGGGGACAGACGCCACATGGCTCAGTGAAAAGCTTCTAGCCATCCTTTCACTGATTGTGGGTTCAAGTCCCATAGGCTCCGGGAG